CATTTTTTAATCACTGCCCACTGTCTTTACTACTACTCCTCTGCCTCCTTTGAGTCATTTTGTAAAAAAAGAATTTGATGATTTGAATATCAAATTTTTTATATAAAAATTTGTTTCAGCAAGTTTTAGTGCCTAATCTGCATGCTATACATTGAACAAATCAGGAAGAAAGAGATTGTCAGTAGTTATAAGTACAACTGACATCGGGCTTTATACACTGATGTGCCAAAAGCTATGGGATAGCAGTATAACATACTGGAAATCATGGGTGGTAGTTGGTGATTTATTTTGGAGATTGTTGGGCCATTTAACATCCCTCGATCTGAAATGTTCGTGTTCTGGGAATATCTAATCGAAGGCCTTACCATTCACTGTGGACATGGCAGTGGCTGACCATCGGTAGTTTAATATCATGACTGAAGGTATCTGGTCAGAATAATGCATCATGTCATCAGGTCCAAGTTGACTAGAATTCATTTCAGAAGCGTCCTGAAGACACTTTACAAATGATGTGATCCTTGAGTCCAACAGGAGACCAATCAAACATTTATAAAACATGATAGATCCAGTCTATTTGAATTCAAGATCCCTCACTTTTAAATTTTGGGAATCTGTGTGCAGCTATCCAAGTGGCATGGTTCAACATCTCTCCAGCTGACCATTTGTGGAATTAGTAACACTTTGCGTTGCTGTACTTTACTGGACTACACAATAGCAGTCACCTTTCCCTTTACTTTTTGTATATCAGTGTTTGTGTAATGTAAGTCCATTACTAATGACATTTTCTATAAAAATACATTGAAAATTTGAAATAAATGATTGTTAGTGGCAAGGAATTAAGCCAAGCATTACCAAGCATTTTTGTTGTTTATAAAAGTGTTTTGACGTATTTAAAAAATACACCATAAAGAATATAGGTTGTATTAACCTGATGTTTTTTGTACAGCTCTAGAAATAGAAGAAAAATGGTAGTACAAGTATGGCGCCAATGTATAGAAAAAAAAAACAAAAAAAAACAACTTATTTTGCTGTTATATAATTTGGTTTGAGATTGACTATTTTAGAGAATAGGCTCTTAATTTGGTTTCCTTGGTTACAGTTTACTTCCCTTTGGAAGAAGAAAAATGTGTAATGTTTCTCTCTGAGGCCACATATCAAAGGTTGTAGATATTTATCCACTTTGATATCATAAATTATTTTTTATTACACTCCAGACAAGTGAAGTTGTGAAAGGTTTCTTTGATGGTGAAGATCAAGAGTGTTAAGCAGCATAAACACTAGTGACTTACTGTGTGTGTGTGTGTGTTCAATCTGGAATAGATTCGATTTCTATCTGGGGCTTTTTATATGCCGATCTTTTAAACAGTTTCGCTTTGCTTATTCCAGCATTGTCCTTACTTTTAAAAATAACTTGCTTTTATTTTTGTTTGAATTACAATTAATCAGATCTCACTCATGACCCCAAGTATCAATACTCTATCACTGAGTTTTAACTTTGAGACAATAATGCAAGGATTACAATATTAACTCAAAAGATATGAATTGTAAGACTTGTTGTGTGTCAAAATGTTTTACATATTTGTAAAATCCAGTGCAACTGACATTTTAGCATACCGAATTTTAGGAAAATTAAAAGATTTTCCATTCCCCACCACACCCACTTGAGTTCAAATACAACTGTAGTTTTCTGTATATAAATCACATACAATTAATATTTTCCAAACTGAATTTGGTTCTAAATTTTACCAATTTTAAGTAAGTCAAACTGAAATTCAATTTCTGAGTTCTCTACACAAGTTAACCAGTCTGTACATTGTGTATTCTTGTAGGATTATACTAAAGCTGTGTGCTAGAAGCATTTTTACTCATCAATATCTGCTTTTGGTCCTTTCCATGGAAACTGGATATAAATAAATCCATAGTGTTTGGCCAGCCAGATTTGGTTGGTCCACCTAAAATGGTTCAGATAATGCTAGTGAAGATGAAGAGACTTTAAGTGACCAGTGTCCTTCTAACAATGGATACTAAAAATACCATGGACGGAATATATGAGCAGTGTGGATGTTTTACAGAAAGCAAAAACCACAAAGAAATTTATGCTTCGAATTCATAATGAAAGCAAGCAAAGGAGGAGGAAAGAGCAAGTAACCTACTTTTGTGTAAATAGATGGCAGATTGGGAGACAAAGAGGGATGATAAAGAGTCAAAAGTTAGTGCAAAAAACCCCCCAAAAAACTGAATTTGTGTAGAGTGATGGTCACCTACATCCGGAGAGGACATGGTACATAAAAGTCATGTCTTAAATTCATTTAGGCATTATTTATATTATTTACATTGTGAAAACTGTTGTCCTCATCTGTGTTGGCATATTCAAAATGTTTCGGCCATTGTACACTTTTGCCTGCTTCATCTACATGACCCAGTGGATAAAAGCGTTGATTGAAGTAATCTAGTGACTTGACCTAAAGAGTTGTGAGTTCAATACCTGGCTACAGCAGAGGTGAACAAAAACTTGGAGAGTTGAGTTAAAGGGAAATAATATATACTGAGATATCTGGAAGAGGCATGGCAATTGGAACTAGAACATTCTACTCTAGTGGATCAAATAAAGGGTTTGGTTCAAAATTCCAATCATCTGAAGAAGGTTGGAGCATACAATGGCCAAAACATTGTGAATATAGCAACAACAATGAGGACAACAGTCCAAACAATGCAAATGCAAATATTGTAAATAATTACAACATCTCATCTCAGAAATATAAACAGATCATTTAGGCATCAATAACTTTTATATGGTTGATAATTTTGTTATGCTGTCATATATGCTAAGAATATTTTCCTCTAATAATGATAGGATAGTCTTTATAGAGTGGGTGTTAGTAGAATACAAAATAATAATAAAGATCTAAACCTGTTGCTATTTTTCTTTCCGTTTGTGCTGTTAGGCATCGTGGGGAGACAAGGTTGACCATGGTGAATTGTGTAGTCCATGCACTTTCAATGCACTTAGTAACTTTCACTTAAAATCATGCTGGCATTTTTTTAGGTTGAAATTGTGTTATAGTTAATGTTGGTTCCAATCTTATGGGAATGACTACAAAGAACTTTCTTTCTCCAATTTATAAGTAGAAGCACACAAATGCATGTTGGTATTTCTTACTAGCCAATGGTTCTTGGTTTCATCTAACTCATTCCCAGTTTATCATGTCTTGAAGTTTGAATGCTATGCTCACTTATCTGAATTGGCTCTTTTGTGTTAACCTCAATTCTTAGTTTGTGAACTTTTTTCTATATTACAATTGTTTTGTCTTGTTACTGCTAATTTGCTTTGATATTTTGTTTGCTTTGTATTATTTTTTGCCCTGTTCTATTATTTTTCTTGTTATTTATTGTTACAAACTTTGTCAATTCTGTTTATTGGGCAGTTTTTCCATTTATTTACATTTAGCCATGGCCACTCACTCTACAGTTAATTACTAGTGCATATCTGTTGTAGAGTAGTTTTCACAGTGGAGGCTTGTATTTCAATAAGTCATCCTAAATTAGGTTCAACGTACAAATTGTTAGGAACTTGAAATAAGAGTTAATGATGCAGCAATCTAGTTGTGATGGTTGGTACTTCAATGTCCGAATATCGACTGACTCGCTCAACACCACTGAGCCCAACTGGCCACTGCTACTACTACTTATTATCTGTGGGGAGAGTCCATTACAATAGAATAGGTATTATGGTATAACAATATCAAGTGTTGTTATTGCAATAGATTCCTGTGATACTTGACTAGACTGAGATTTGAGATTTCTGAATGTTTTGAGCCTTATTTCAAAGTTGGTTTGTTTACTATGAGATTATAGTTGCCTGCATTAGAGAATACGATTTATTCTTGAATTGATGGACTTTTTTATTTTAAGAATTGATCTTCATTTTAAGAAAAAGTTCCAGCAGGACAGTGTCTCAATCTATTTCAAGATCTAAATTTTATTTTCCATATTCAAGTATTAAATTTGTTGGCTTCTATGTCCTACACAAGCCTGTCTTGAGATGTCTTTTCTCATTTGAGTTTCTTAACCTTATATAGCGAGAGAGTTGAAATTTTTAGTTCACAACACATAGACAACAAATCCACCATTAAAGTTAATTTTTTTTTTGAAGAAGCTTTATCCATCAATAAACGTGTGAGGGAATAAAAAAAAAAAGATTTTTTTCAAATGGATCATTGCCCTGTGAATTAATTTATGATACTAGACTTTTTTGGTAATAAGTTGCTAGTCTATTCTAAGACTTGACTATAGTTGGTTGGTATGTAAAGATAATAAGCCATTGTTTTGATTTGTTGGCACTATATTGAAAAGACATTTCTGTCTTGAACATTTCTTTTCACTCACAAATGACACAAGGATTTTTTTGTTCCCTAACATTAAGTTATTTAATCCCATTTAAGTTGTGGCAAAATCTCTCTACTTTTTTTTTGATTATGGTTTTATAAAATCTGTGAGGATCATATGATTTTTGTAAACAAACAATACCAACCACAATTGGAATAAGTCATTGTGAACTCCACAATCCTTTCATTAGATGCATATAGAATATGCTTCACCATAGCTACATACAGTTTTTTGAATTTGTAATTGTCCTTCTGGCCTACCAATAAAGGCTGATAAGCTCCATCTCTTCTACTATTTAATACACACACACATTATTTTATATATATATATATATATAGAGAGAGAGAGGGAGAGAGAGATATTCATACCTATCCCAAGGGTATTTATGCACAAGTAAATGTAATGAACTTGATTAGAATTCGAACTATACTCTCCAATTTCTCATTCTGAGCTGCTATCCATAACACCACCTGCACATCTATTTGCAAAATGAAATTTGAAATATTGTGTAAGGAGTTTTTCTTTCTTGCAAGCAGATGAGCAGATGATTTAATTCACAGCCCTGCAAAAATGTACAATTAATAACAGTTCCATGCTAAATCTTCAGACAAAAAATGAAAAGGAACTTACAGCCATTATTCAAGAAATTCTTTCATTTCAAGAATTCCTTTCATTTTATTTTCCTTTTGGCTCATTCTTGCCATGTATTTGAAATGTTATCATAATTGGGGAACAACAATGATGGGAACAGATCATAAAATAAAACTTTAGCAGCTGCTACTAATCTTAAAAATCTGAGAACTTTTTTTCTCCCCCCCCCGCCCCATATACTGCATTTCAGAATGTGCTGTTCCTTTTTTTTTTTTTTTTTTTTTTTTTTGAGATTTTCTGGCTTAAAAGATGCCTTGTAGAATTATGGTTTGTTTGAAAGATTGATATACTTGTAGCTTCAATCTACTAATCTCTCTTCCCAGTCCCCACCCGTAAAAATACACTAAAAATCTACCCCAGGCCCACTCTATGTGCAGAGTGGGAGATTTCTTCTTTGTTCAAGAGTCATTGTCTTATGCAGAATCTAGTTTCTAATTCTGGGGTGTGTAAGTGGAAAATATAATCTCCTATTGCTCTGATCTGGCATTGCAGTCCATGATTATGCCATAATTATTGTCTATTCATTTATATAAAATGCATATATGTGTGTCCATGTATAACAGAAAGAGAATTTTCTCTGTGTGTGTTAAATATAAAACAGAATTTGACTTATTCTTAGCTCACGGATAAATGGATAGTAATTTTGTAATTGAATTTTACTTATATCGAAAACTTAAATATTGCCATATATAACTACTGCATAGTGACTGTCAGTTCAATGTCTCAAACAATCTTCAACCACAGACTAATGGCAAAAAAATATATTAATAAAATTCAAAAAATAGAGTAAAATACACAAATACTACTAAGGTCCAAATATTAAAATGTCCCAAAACAGAAACCTTGCCAAAGGGTTTCTAAATGTTTTCTGATTGTAGATTTCTTGAAAGAATATGAATAAAAATTGAACAAAAGAAACTGGATTGTAACAAGCACCTTAGAGGAGAAAATTGAATAGTAATGTGGGGCTATGATTAAAAAGAAATGGAAAAACGGTTTTGGCTTTAAATATCTACCAAGAGTTAATATGCTATTAAAATACACACACTCACTCTCTTTTATAGGCTCTGTATATAGGCTACTGGGGGATTATGGTAAGAAAGGAGCTGGTCCTTTCAAGTTCTTTTGTTGAGAGGTAATGTTTTAGTTTATTTATAATCATGACCTTGCTTATTTTAATTATTTTTTCTATTTGTTATTTATTCCAACTTTTGTGTTGCATAATAAAATCTCACCCCATGAAGTTACAAATATTTCTAATAAAAGCTGAAATTCATCTGATATATTTATCATATAAATAGATGCTGAAAATTTTGCTGACAAAATCTGGCTAATACTAATTTTATTATGAAAATATTGACTTACATAATAAACCTATGTTGGTAACAATTTCAGGATATACTTACTGTGTGTGTACACTTATGTATAACATGAACAAAACGAAAGCACTTACTGTAAAGTCCTCAATATCTACACAGTCTTAGTATTTTTGCTGACCAGCTATTGATCTCAAATTGAAAACATGATTTGATTTTTAGTGTGATGTCTTTTGGAAAGTGAAAATGATAAACAGGGAAGGATAAAAGGCGGAAGATTGTATTATGTCAATCTTCCAAATGGGGAGAGTTTGGCCATCTTGAAAACCATCTTATATTACCTATCTCAGCCAGTTTTAGCATTATTAGCTTTTTATTTTATTGGTTAGATCAGTTATCTTTATATTAACCCACTCGCCACTTTTTAAATAATATCTTTAAGTTTGGCTCTTGCTTGTTGGTTGGAATAGTTGTGCATTTAAATTCAGATAAAGACTAAGATTTCTCTTTGTCATTAATGCAAAACTGTTTTTTCTGTCATTTAATATCCACCATACAGAGAAACACACAAAAGATTACCTGCTTGTATACAATGCGTTCATTTTAAGATTCTGTTTTAACTGTTCTACCTTCAAAATTTAACATTTGTTTTATAAAAGAAGAAAATCTAAAGAATTGTTGTATTGGTGGTACTAGTACAAAGTTACTATTCATCGGTACTGGCTTTGTTCAAACCATTGATAACATGCTCTCTCAAAAACTCATTAAAGTCTGTTCAGCAGTATAAAAACTACATGTTTGCTCTGTGGGTATTAAACAAACACAAAGATTGTGCCTGAGAAGATGTCTGCAACAAGGATTAGCTAGCCACCCTAGCAGAATTATATACTTACACTTTACTTTTTATTTTACTTTCCAACTCCATTTGTCTTCATTATTATATATACATTTACTTACGTCTCCTTACGATGTATTATTTAGTGTTTTTTTTTATGTTGACCTGACATAAGGCAAAAAATATTGAGCATTTAATGAGGAGCAAAGTCTCTTCAAGTGTATTGGTCAGGCATACTTGATTGTTAACTATTGCTCTATGATAAGGTACCGCAGATATATATTTGAGCCCATCTGTGGAACCCAGTGAGGATTACGCTCATCTCGGTAGTAATAATCAGCCAGATTGACTTGTTAGCTATCATGGTGTGATAACCCTAACAATTTCTTTTTCTTTTATTGATTATAAGAGATAAAAATAAAAAAAAAGTTAATGGGAGATTATTTCATATTTGTGAAACAAGATAGGCTTAGCCTTTTATGATTTTTTTGTTTGGATTTACGTCTTTATTGCAGTTATGGTTGGCTTTATCCAATTATCAAGTAACATTCCATGGTTAATGATCATTCATATCATACCCCTTCATATGGCCTTCTCAGTAGAAGGGAGAAGATAGTACTTATTCAATGTGAGATGTCATCTGTAGAATTTGTCACTACAGCTTGCTAGGTGGGGAAATATGCAAGCTGCAAGGGAAATGGATATCTGTGACCTTTGTGTATGTGTGTACTTTTTTATATAAGTGGGTTAGTTATTAGTTGTTAAAACCTAGCACTTACTATATCATCTAAAACTTATTGTTATATTGTCCAAATAGAAAACTGTTTTGATTCGATCCCTGAAATTAAGAGAGAGAGATTCTGATCCTTATTTGAATGGATTGTCCTTTGAAACTGTCAGTTAATGTAAGTAAAATCTAATTTTCTGCATCCTTTTTAATCACCAAATCCCATCAAAACAAAAGTAGCCAATAGAACTACTAAAGAATGGATTTTCTAAAAATGTTACAAAATTGAAAAAAAAAAAAAAATGGAAAATTACTGGAAACTGATAAAATAATCTGAGAACAATTCAAGAATTACATTATTATTTTATTCTGGTCATTTATAACCAGGGTCATTATAAGTATAATCCTAGTTCCTGGGGATCCATCTCCCAGGCAATAGCTCCTCATTGGACTAAAAGGGGGTTAAGGTTTCTCTGTGATGGTTGTAGCAATATTCTGATTGTACAAAGTAAGTTTGTACTTACATATGCACAAATATGTGTGGGTTGCCATATCAAAAAATGCCATGTACCACATTTCATTCCAGTGAGAGAATAAAGAAATAACTACTACTACTGCAACTAGGTAATCGGCAAACAACGTGGTAAAGGAATATGGGGGTGGGGTTCAACATAAATGACTATATGAACTTCTAAGAGAAGGAATAAGAGTTTGAAGCTTTGAAAACTATTCTGGTTTCACACTGTTTATTTTAAGAACTGAGGAATGTATTTTGAGGACTGAGAATTGTGTGATAAAAACGACAGAAAATATTAAGAAAATTCATTAAAAACTTGCAATAAAATATGTTTTGTCATTATCTGTTTATTTGAATTTTCTTGTTCATAGACATTTTTTATAAATTTATCAATAAAAAAATTATTTTCATATTTACTTCTTTATAAATTGCTGAAAGATAAACGTTGCATTGTATTATTTGTCGATATTTCTGAGATGAAATATTGTAACTATTTACACTATTTACATTGTTCAGTTTGAAATTCCAGTATGTCACCTGAGGTAGGTTGGAGCGTATGACAACTGAAACATCATGAATGTGACAACAAAGATGAGGACAACAGTCCAAACAATGTAAATAATGTAAATATGCATTACATTAGCTATTTTGCATTTTAAAAATGTTGTAAATAAAATTATTCTTGTAACTAAACAATCTAGTAAATAAATAGCATTTAATATTTTTGCTGTAAATTCTCAAAGAACAAAGAAAATGTATAAATTCAATTTCATATGTTTGCATTTTGTTAAAATTCTGATCATCGCTTTTTAAAACAACAAACATTGCCAAGGGAGTGAAGAAAAGTAAAATTGGTAGTTCATGTTTTAAAACTTATTGCATTTTAAATGGTTTGCATACTTTGATAACTTTGTAATTTTTTTTTTTAATTTAAAAAAAAATTTCTTTTCACATTTTTTATTTCTTTATAAAATGGTAAACAATAAATATTTATAAAAGATAAATCATTTTTCATAATCTTGTAAATAAACATTGCTAAGGGAGTGAATGTAATTAAGATATTAGTTGTGTCAATGTTTAAAACTATCCTTTTGAAACACTGTTTCTTGCCTGCACAAAGGTCCATGTTTGCCAAATTGTTTTTGCTTAAAAGAGGACTAATAAATATACCTTAGTAGTGAAGTCATGAACTGAAAATTTAGAGTAATTTAATGTTATCTATTGTCTTAAGTGTTCGTATCTCTTAAGTCCAATTTTAAAATGCAGAGAAAGCTAGAAATGGGATTCAAATCTGGGCTGTGTGGTTGGGGGTAACTGAGTGATGGACTGTTTTTGTCAAGAAACCCTGCAAAGATGCAAAGGAGTACTGGGAATTAAAGAGAATGAGAAGATTTTAGAAGGAACCAGAAACCCAATCTTAAACAGGAAAAAAACAAATAATGAACAGTCAAAATTAAAAAAAAAAAAATTTTCTATACACTATTTACATTGTGCGAACTGTTGTCTTCATCTTGATTGTCACATTCATGATATTTCAGCCATTGTATGCTCCGGCCTTCTTCAGGTGATTGGAATTTTGAATCAAACCCTTTATTTCGTCCACTGAGGTAGATTGTTTTAGTTTCACGTGCCATGCCACTTCCAGATATTTCAGTTTCAGTTATTTCTCTTTAATTCGACTTGAAGTTTTGTTCACCTCTGCTGTGACCATAAATCAGAGAAAGAAGTAGTATGATTTTAAGACTAAAATGCTCTCTCTTTACCAATTTAACAATTTGTATAGTCCAGTCACTAATTGCCTGTATTTCTTTAGTAAAGGATTTTATTCAGATCTTGTGTATTTACTGATAAAGAATCAGTGTCAAGAGATGGAAGTAAAAAATACATTGATGATGACCTTAAGAAAAATTATTAAAAAAAAATCAATTGTAATTTTTTGTTCACCTTAATTATTAATTTTCTGTTTTCTTTTTGCCTTACAGGAAGGCTCTCTGGAGCAAGCCATGATGGATGCACTCATCAATGACCGTGTCGACTTTGTACGCCTTCTTTTGGAGAATGGGGTCAGCATGAGAACATTTCTTACCATTCCTCGGCTTGAAGAACTTTACAATACTGTAAGTATAAAGACGGATCCTTTTTACATGGATGCTAGCCAAGTTGATTGATACATCTAAAATTGTTCTTTGCAAGCCATTGCTGGTCAGTTTTTACTTTTTCACCTTTTCTCATTTAATATACCTCGTTAAAATGCCTAAATCCAATTGAGAATTTGGATAGGAAAACCTATTTGAATATATTATTCTGATTATGAATTTTTAAATATATTTTATTTACCATTTGTTATGTATTTTCTGGAGATTGAAGGTCTGTCCAGAAATGATCTAGCTATAAATAGTTAGATCATAATATCTTTAACAAAAAGAAAAGTCGCCTGCCTAGGACAATGGCACTTTAGTTTCCCTTTGAGACCTGATAAATTTATTCTATACACTATTTACATTGTGTGGACTGTTGTCCTCATCGTGGTTGTCACATTCAAGATGTTTCAGCCATTGTATGCTCCGGCCTCCTCCAGGTGATTGAAATTTCGAATCAAACCCTTTATTTCACCCACTGAGGTAGATTGTTCTAGTTCCACATACTATGCCACTTTCAGATATTTCAGTTTCGGTTATTTCTCTTTAATTTGACTCTCCAAGTTTTGTTCACCTCTACTGTGGCCTCATTGGACTCACAACTCATTGGTTCAAATCACTAGATTACTTCAACCAATGCTTTTATCTACTGAGCCATGTGTCCTTGAGGACCTTTATTTTAATCTCCTTTCCAATTTTGAAAACATTTTGCAAAAACTCTCTTGAGATTGCTTTTATGAATTTCTCTTTAATTCTGTCTGTGGACTTAAGCATCCATATTTCTTAATGCCAATTTTAAACATAGTGAAAGCTAGAAATGGAATTCAAATTTGGGCTGTGTGGTTGGGGGTAACTGAGTGATGGACTGTTTTTGTCAAGAAACCCTGCATAAGCGACAAATAATGAACAGTCAAAAATATTCAAAATAGTTAGATAAATTCTTGACAGTCTGTGGATCCCCAGAATTTTTTCTAATTCTTGCACTGTTGATTACCAATTTCCTCTGACAGCAACCTGCCCATGTCCTGCTTAATTGAAGGCCTTGCAGGACATTGTCTTTAATGGATTGCAACCCAAGTTTGAAGTAGTGGTAACAAATTTTTGAGATTCACGTATTGAAACATTTCCAGATGGTTTCCGCGGACAAATATCATATTTGCTGTGAATGTTATAATGTCAAATGTTACTCAAGCTCACTCAGTGTGTCTGTTCACCCCCTATTTACTGGTTGCCAAGTTACATCAGAGCCATGTAAAAAGTTCTCGAGATATTCAAAATAACTGGATATTTTCCACAGAGATCTTGAACATCCTCTAAATGAAATATCAAAGACTTTTTGTCATCACATTCATTGCTTTATCTGATCTTCATTTCAAGATGTCAAAGTAGAGAAAAAAAAAATTAACTAATTTGTGAATGAAAAACAAAATTTTAAAAAAAGTTGACCTAATTTCTAACACTTTTATGGCATTCACATATGTCTAATGAATTAAATATACAGAATCAATATAGAAGTATGTGTTGTTGTTCTTAGCAGAAAGATACCTGCAAGTCTCCAAACTTTTTTAAAATATCATATTTTTTTTTTATTTCTTTTAATCATCTATAGTTAAAACGTCTCTTGTGAAAAAAAATATTGTACGTTATCTTTTAGAATTATCTACTATGAAACTTCTTTTTGAACCAAAACACAATAATGAGAAAAGAAATGGTTTGTTATTGCTGGTTTTGGTGAATATCTTTATACTTACTTTCTGTTCTGTTAACTGACTGAATGAAAGGCATTCTGTGTCCTTCATTACTTTCATTCATTGTTTTGTTGACTTTTCTGCTGTTTCTACTTTAACATTACTTGCACCGATTTTCCTTGCTTCACAGAGATCTTATTTGCTTGAATATATTTTCCATACTTAAGACCTTTTTAATCATTGAGCACAAGTATATCAGGAGTAGCTCAAGGCTGTTATTAATGGGCCTTGTTTGACTACTGTTTTTGGTTAGTAAAACATAGCATATATTCATCATAACAACAAATTGAAACATTTATATATATATATATATATATATATATGATCAGAAGGATTTTGTTGTACAAGTTCCGTAGATGTATGAAAGTTCCTGTAATGTAGTTGCTAGTAAATTGTTTCTTGTTTGTGTTGGTGAATGAATAGGTTATTTGGAAGTGATAAGTCTTATCAGTAAAAGGTAATATTAAACATGAGAAAGTGACATTTATGTAAGTTGACTTATCTGTGATCTTCATTTCTGGAGATGCTCAATTCCATGTTCTCTCCTTGCAAGAGACCAACTGAAAAAAAAAAAAAAGGAAGTCTCTAAATTTCCCGCCAGAAGGATTGTTTCCTTCTTTCCTAAGGAAACATGGAAATTAGATATTTTTTTTATTTCTCCTGATCACTACAAGACCATTTTATTTATTTGCTGTCTACAAAACCTCTCTTTTTTTTTTTTTCCTTCTGATTAATAATCAGCTTTGCGTAATATGAAGACGCATTGTCTTGCATGAACATAGATTTTTAAGGAAAGAAAATAAGTATACTAGTCTAAACAACTTTTAGAATGACAATGATTTTTCTTGAAATTATGGAAGGTGTTTTTAATATTTCCATTATTTTTTGCCTTCAAATAGAGAAAGCTTGCCTGCCGACTTTGGAAATCCATATTTAAAATCCTGACTTTTATTCAGGCTCAAGCACTGACCTGGAACTGGAGAGAAATCTGAAACTATTTCAGCCTACAGTCAAAACATGCTAGAAGCACTGGTTCTTGTTCAATCACTGGAGTTAAGCAGTGTCAAGCACAGTTGGTACTTAAATGGGGAACTCTTTGGTAAACACTGTGTACTGTGAATAACCTCCTACAATCTGAAATATATATATATTCCAGCTTTAAATAACCTACGGAGGGTTGATAAGCTGTACCCCCCAAAAAAAAACCCAGAAACAATGCATCTATTTCATACTGAAGGCAGACCCTTTATCACAGATTATTATTTATGGCCTTTTCAAAGTGTATTAGCAGTTACGCTTGCTGTTGAAGAGTTTAAACAACCAATCAATTTCAAGCCTTTAAGAGACTATGTAAATGAAAGGTTTTTGTTATGATGTTGATTTGGGGTTAGTAAAGACAAACACCAAATAACGCGTAACAATAAAAAGGGGTTTATTAGGTTAGTAAGTAGGTACATAAATCGCCTGAGTAGTCTATAACTAGCTCAGCCAAGAACTTCTCTGTCTCTGTCTTTTGACATGCCACTATTTAAAGTCTTTGTTTGTAGACAAGTTCATCTTCAAGAGGGGTGGTAGGTTTCCTACGCAACAGTTTTTAAGTGAGGTTTTCAGTGAGAAATTAGGGCCATAGATTGGCAGATTCTAACTATTGGAATATTTATCTTTCCCTAGACTATTATTGTACAATGCACCTTTTGAAGAGACAATCTTGGAAACAGATGATCACATGAAACATGGTTAAAAGAAATCTGTTGAGAGTCACTGATATGGATCATTGTTTTGTCATTTCAACTTTCATATCTTCTGGATTAGATGGAATCTTATAAAAATCCTTTTCTGAAACAAATATCTCGTTATTTATTAGTAACCATCTACCATGTCACAATTTATATGCTGTATTAAATTTCTCTCTCTCTCTCTCTCTCTCTCTCCCCTAGCGGCAAGGCCCAACAAATACTTTAAGATACTTGATCCGAGATGTCAAAAAAGTAAGTAATGCCATTTATTTTGATTTTTTTCTCTTCATTTTTTCAATCTGTATCAGTCTCTAAGTGATGATCTTGCATTACAGCTAAAAACAAAAAACTTTTTTTCTTCTTTTACTGCCAAAATCTGTGTGAAACTAGAATTAGTTTCCTTAGCCAGTAAACAGAGAGGAGGACTTTTGAGTCTCAATGCAACAGACATGAAAATTTGACAACTACAAAACCAAGAAAAAACAGTCTCCAAATCTCATTACCAGTTAGGCATTTTAATCCCCAAAAGAATTTCGGACTGATACAATTCAATTATGTTAAGCAAAAAAAAAAAAACATAATACAAACAAATAATCATAATACTAAAAATGTTTCTGTACTGTGTCATATATCACAATTTAACAGACACCAAACAAAACATGTCTGTAAATTTATTATCAATATAGAATTACATAAAAAGGAATAACCTCTCAACTCTATATCCTGTTGTGTTTTCTGTTCTATGTTTTTCCTTACAATTCCTTTTCAGCATTAACTCGGAATTTGGAGCTAGATAGTTACAGTAAATTGTTATGTATTTTTCTTTTAGTACTACAACCAAAACTCCACACTCATAATAATACCCTCCCTTAATTTACAGCAGTACCCCCCCCAAAGAAAAGAAAATTAAAGCAGTGGTGACATTGTTTCAAATTGCTTCAGATCCTTCCAAAATACTAATTGCTTCAGAAACAATTAATCTTTAATGTCCACATTTATGGACTTTTTGTTATTCACAAAACAGTATCAACTTTTTTTTTTCTCTTCACAAATTCATGTTTTCTGTCTGAATTTCTGCACTGAGGGGTTATCATTATTTACACTGTTTACATTCGGATTATTTTCTTTGTTTTTGTTGTTGTTATCACAACATTTCAGCCATTGCGCCCTCCAGCCTTCATCAGGTATATATTGATCTCGGTAACCTACAGGGAATTCTGAACTGAACCCTTAATCTGTGGAGTAGCCTGTTCTCATTCCACTGCCAATGTCTAAGGATAGCTCATCTCATTCTGATTTTTTTGTATTGTTCAGTTATTGCTCTTCTTATTTCCACTGAATCCAAGTACACACTGCCCAGCACAGGGATTGAACTTGCAATTACTATGTCACTAAATTCACAAACCAATGCTTTAATCCACTAGGTCATTTCATACCATTGGTACTCAGATTGATATACACCTGATGAATGTCAGAATACACAACAACCAATAACAACAACAAAGATGAATACAATAGTCTGAATATAAATAATGGAAATAAAATTGATGATTACTTTTTATCATAAGGTAATAAGCAATTTAAGTAATTGAATGATTGAAAAAATTACCAGCAATACATTTTCATGGTAAAAAAAAATTAAAAAAATACCAGCAATACATTTTCATGGTAAAAAATTTTTTTTAAATACCAGCAATACATTTTCATAGTAAAAAAAGAAATTTTTTTTTAAATACCAGCAATACATTTTCATAGTAAAAAAAGAAAAAAATTTAGAAAATACTAGCAATACATTTTTGAAGAAAATACTAAAACTCACAAGAGAATAAAATTTTGGCATTAAATGACCCATGAAGAGTTGATATGCCTTTTAAACAAACCAAACCAATATTGTCATCATCTTTGTTGTTTGTTATCACAACATTTTGTCTGTTATGCCCTCCAACAACAAAGATGAGGACAATATTCTGCCTGTAAATAGGGAAAATTATTTGCTAAAAATGGTTTTAGTAATAAATTAATTTGTTATTTATTTTTCTATCAATAAGGTTGTAGCCTAATAATAAAATGTTTCATTTTCTGTTATAATCCTCTTTCTGTTGAATCATTATACAGTGAAACTTTCAGATCAAATTAAAGTGTTTGCATTTGGCAAATGAAAATTGATAACTTTATTGTCAAGTAAATTTCTCTGTAGTCATTCTCTTAATGTTTTTGCTTCTCCAGATCAGATTTGTCAGATTCACCTAATGAGTATAAAATTGCACTTTGAAAGCCAAGTGCAACTGAATTTTGAAGTAATATATATATATATATATATATATATAGTAACCTAGAAAGGGTTACTGAATGAGGAATAACCAAAACAGGTTGGAAATGAAATGGTAATCTTTATATCATCAACAAAATACAATACTTGCCAGTTGTGTGAAAGTAGGTAATCCACTGCTAGTGATGGACTAATTAGACAGCATATTACCCCACTTACAATAGTGTCCAATATATTTATATGGATTGGGATATACTCATTAGTGTTCATAAGTATGGTATATAACAAATATATATACATATATTTTAGTTATTACTGTGTAGCAAAAAAAAATATCTTAAATCAAATAATTTATTATATATATATATATATATATATATATATATATATATATATATATATATATATATATATATATATATGTATGGAGGCACAGTGAGTAATATTAGCTTGGATTAATGAATCGAGAGGCGAAGTTTGAATTCCAGTCAAGTTTATTATATTCACATGTGCTAATACCCTTGATAAAAGTATGAATTCATCTAATCTACCCCCAGATATGGGTAAAATAGCATGACAGATTGAGTTCAATAGCCTTAGGTGGTGAACAGCCTATGAGAAGGACAACTCTGAATTCAAAACCTGTGGTGAGTTGTTTGGTGAATTTGTGGCATCCTGTGCACTGTCTCCCTGTATTCAACAGTTCCAAACAGTGGGAGTTGTTTCTGCACATGACTTCACCACTATAATCAATTGATATGTGCAGGTAGTCTGCTTGTTGGTTCTAAAAACAGGTCATCCCAAATTTTACATGTTCTAGCACTGTTTATAATTTTCCAAAATTTGGAAAATTATAAACTGTGCTAGAATCTGATGATTGGGCTATGGATTAATCAAGTTATTATATTGTAGTGCTAGAACATGTAAAACTTGGGATGACCCATGCCCTTTGTGCCTCCATGAGAAATTGCACATTATTAAGCTTCTAAATAATAATAATCTATTAAACAATAGACATGAGTTAACGGTTTTCTGTCGACATGATCAGATTTATGGTTTGAATTATTAGCATACAACAGATGCAAATGATTGAATTGTTCTAAGAAAAATAACTCTCCAAGTAATTGAAGAGTTATTTCCCTTGCTTTAAGATTCATGAATGTAGTGGATTTGTTTATGTTGATGGAAATTTCTCACTCTCTCATTATTAATATTAATAACAATATATTCCATTGCCAATAGAATTATTTTCTTTTGTCAAATTCATAAATTCACCATGAATTATTGATATTTTTTGTACAAATTCCATAGTGACCACTTAAAACTAGAAAACAGTCTGATCAAATGAAACTCATAATAGCATCTACTTGACAGTTGCAGTAGTAAATGATGGAAGCTAATGATGAATTGTATAAAAAATTTAAAAATTATTTCTATAATCATGAAAATAAAAAAATAAAAAAAACAGCTTCATCAAGATGCCTTCAAATTAATAGATTTTATCTAATATTTGTGATTATAAATTTTTACATTTAGGATTTTCAAGTGGAAAGAAATATATTCTGTTATTATTATTATTTGTGTATGTTATGTTTCATGCTTTGTATCCAGTAGAGCCGGTTTCAAACCATGGTTCTTTGGCCCTATAGAAGAATTGTCATTTAATTGATAGCACTTTTCTTAGTATATGGGATGTTCCTAGTAGGGTGATCTGGACAAACTGTATGTTGATGTTACCTGTTAGTAAAATTATTAATTCCTTTTTTCACAAGGCCCAGAGCTCCAATTACTATTAGTACAGTCTCAGTCTTCATTCAGCACATCCTGTTAATCTCAATCTCTAGGTCCTTGTATTTGGGCAATTTCTCGATAATTTTCATGGTGGTGTTTCTCTGGTACTGCTATGTCAATAAACATACACTTCCTGAATTTTTTGTCTTTTATGACAATATCAGGTCTGTTGGCTTTTATTTCCCTGTCAGTTTGAATTGGCATGCCCCAGAAGATAGTTACACCATTATTTTGGGTAACTGGTTGGTGCTCATACTGTCTCTTCGTGGCTTTGATTTTGTGCCTCTTGCATATCTTACAGTGCACATATGTTGCGACCTTCTTTTTCATCAACATTATTTTGTTGTTATTATTATTATTATTAATATTTCTACTACTATGCGTTTCATTATGCTTTATTTGTAGCATGTCCCATCAAGTTATCGTTACACATTACCAGACATTGGACTTGTTCTGCAACATCTTATGGGAGGTGGTTTTGTCTCTTCCTACCTTAAGAAAAGCTTCCGACAGAAATACAATGCTCTCAAAAAAAATGTAAGTATTCTTTTAAATTCAAAAAAAAATTACTCTTTTTTTTATTTCTTTGTTTCTGCTTAATTATGGATGCATTTTTGAGCTTTACTTTTTTTTTTCTCTCTTGACCGCACTGTATGAATTATTTTTCTGAACCCCTAAATTTAAAATTGTGCTTGAATTTTTGCTTACAATTTTATTCTGCAAATGATGAAACAAAAATAAGAAGACTAATGTTTTATCATTACCATATTGCAAAAAGACTTTCTTTAAAAACAAAAACAAATTGTAAAATAAAACTAATATAAAGTCATAGGCGGAAATTTCCAATGGGTCGGTGGAAAAGTTTCTTAGCCTGACCTCACTGTAAAGTATATGAGCAAAATTTTGTAACTGTAGCTGAAATTTTTGTAAAATGCTAATTTGCTAGAAGGTTTACAGCCATACCACATTGAATCACCATTTCCTGTATGATCATTAAAGTTAAGAAACATCGGGCTTGGTCAATCCCTAGATGGGTGACTACTTGGGAATACCAGATACTGTATGTTGGATGTGCAGCTGGTGTAATAGATAATGGCTCCGAATTGTTACTCGGAAAGCACTGAGTTCCAGTTACTGTTAGATTCGTTATATTCACTTTCGTCCACAAATATCCTTGGGAAAGGTCTGAATTCACCTCTTTTCTCCTCAGCTATGGGTTAATTAGTAAGAGTTGTATCCCAAGTCCATTATTATTTCCAAAAAGAAATTCTTGCAATCTAAAAATATTTTCTGGCTTTAAACAACCTGCCAAGGGTTGATAAGCTTTTAAAAACAAATCAATCAATCAATGAAATATTGATTAGCTACCAGGCATGTCTTTTAGATTTATTTACATTCTCTAGAATATAAATGTATAGAGAAACTACTATGACTATAAAATGAGAAATCATTTCATACATTGATTATAATAGAATTGATCCCCCACTTTATATTTACTTTATAATTTCTTGGTTTATCAAATTCTGATTAGATATGAATCCAGCTCTTCTACCTCTAGCTATGGGTTAATTAGCAAGACTTGTATCACTAAATCCTTATTATCTGCCCCCCCCCTTCTTACACTCTAAAAATATTTTATGGCTTTAAATAACCTGCACTGGGTTGATAAACCATAGAAAACCAATCAATCAATAATTTGCTAGATTCATGTCAAGGAAAAGTATTGAATTTTCAACTGTGGAATTTGAAAACATCCTAAAATACTTGTATTCCCTGTAATAGAAAGTGGCAAATGAAATTGATGAATGTGTGGTGCAAACTTTGGGTGACAAATGTCTGTCATATTCACCTGTAAAGAAGTGATGTGGAGATTTTTGTAATCCAAAATGCAGCAGACCTTGTAAGGCCTTCAATGGTGTCAACTTCTGAAATTGTCGATCATATTTGTGATCTAATTTTGGCCAGTCAATAAATCTCATCCCTTAAATTGCTCAGACACACATGGTTTGTCCAATGAATGCATTGGTGTTATAATTCTTGAGTAGTCGAGTAAACAAAATCTCGCAACCAGGTCGGTACCAAAATGTTTGAATGCTGACCAGAAATTATATCAAGCCAAAACTTCCAGCTTGGTTTTGCAGCATTTTCATTTAACTAATGAGAATTTGTTTGGGAATGTTGTGTTACTATTGGTGAAAACTGCTTATAGCACTATGATCTTGAAGGCCAAACAACAGTCCATGCAATGAAGTTACTCTGATTTCCCATGCCTGAAGAAATTCAAGATTCAGAAGTCAGCAGCAAAGGTCATGATCAAAACTTTCTGGGTTATTGAAGGTATTTTGATGACAGATCTTTTAGACTGGTGCTACAGAATCCCAAATAAAGAACTGTTCTAAATAGCAAAGACTACATCACTGGAAGACTTCTAACAGCAGCAACAACTAAAACTGGTAGCACATGTAACTAGAATAATGATATAATCAAGATATTGACTTTTCAAACATAAGATTTGAAAAGAAACAACCACCATTACTACAAAATATTTATTGATAAGTTATTCAACTTGTGGAGTCTATTTTCCTGAAAAAATGTTTTAAGAAAAAACTTTATAACTTTCAACTGACTGTAACACTAACTGTTCAGTCAATAGATGCCAAATGTTTCCTGTAAGGAAATGGCTAATCTCATCATTACCATCTTCAGAAAGGGCTAGACAAGGCAGAATACAATGCTGTGCTAATTAAAGGAGGCACTGATTGAAAAAATGACTGGGGAAGCTGTGGAAAGGGGTTCCTTTTTGCAAAACAATAAACGTAATCTTAGGTTTCAGCAAAACTGTGGATATTTGAAGATTTTTGGATTTGAGTGCATAAATTATCCAGCCAGTTTTTTTTGTCTCTCCTAATGTTAAAAGGATTCAAATTTGATAACAACAGAACCATATTTCAGAGAACAAACATCGGAATTCACTATAGATTACCCAGATCGATATACACAAGGAAGGCCAGAGAACACAAGGGCCTAAACATTATGATGACAACATCAAAGATGAGGACAATAGCCCAAAGATAAATAGTGTAATCAATAATTAACTCCTCATCCAAGAAATTCAGACAAAAAAAAATTGGAATTTCTTTTTAGAATTAAAGAAACTTGAGAAACAAAGTTTAAAGACAACACTTGCAAAATGATGTGGAAATTTCTGAGTGAATGTTGAATAGCATGTATAATTCATGGTTTGGGATTGAGGACTTTTCAGCAATCCCTTATTAAATATATTTTGGTAGATTTTTATGGCTGTCATTTGTAAAGCTAATACCCTGTTATTAATAATGAAATAGTTAACTTTTGTGGCAGTATATCTTTTTAAGAAACATCTGATTATAGACATATGGCAGATTCTCAAAGTAATATTTATTCTCACTGACATTCTTGTGTACTTCCTTTCATATTTGTTTTTCATATTGTTGAAAAGAATATTTAGAAAATATAGAAATCCTACAGCAGATTTATCAATAGATGCTTATATCTTGAGATTTGTTCAAACAGGACATTTGGTAGCTTGTATCAATAAACTGAAAAAGGTTTACATCTTTTGTTTGGTTTCTGCTGACTTTGTCTATGAAACCAAATATTTCCATAGAAAATTTATGTATGAGATCATTTTTTAAATTTATTTTCTTGGTTTCAAAAAGCTTTTAATACATTATGGAAGTTTATTTTGAGAAAACATGGCTACATGGTAACAATAAACATTGTCTTCAATTTGTTTTACTGAATGCAAGTTATGATTTTATTTTGTTGGATAAAAAGAAAAAAAAAACATTGATTTCTACAAGGGGATGCTGAAAAGATTATTCTGCCCTATTGACCTGAGATCAGACCAAATATCAAATTCTTTTTTCTTTTTTTTAATTCCTTTTTGGATGTTTTGAGAACTTTCTTTTCAGTAACCCTATCTTACATATCCATTATGAGGCTTTGATTTAAATTGCTATTTATTGCCTTGTTTGTCGCCTACCATTTCTCTTCAATTCATTACAAGTTGTGTATTTTTAAGTCACACTGGGAAATCCACAAGTAAATGATGAATGTTTTTCTCTTTGAACATATCTTCAAATCAGTGCAGTTCTAATTGGTGGTAGTGTGTGTGGGGGGAGGGGGTCCTTTTTTTTATTTTATACTGTAGATTCACCCTTTACAAGATCTGAGGGCTATTCGACGCAGAGGGTTAAGTTAGAAGGCAATTTTCGCGGATAGAAGATAACGGTTAACCCTGGCCTTGAACAGGATTGTAGTGATCGAGGAAATCTCCTCTTGGGAGTCAATTCCATAGAGCAGTGGTTCATGAGAAGAAGCTGTTTGAGTGGAACTTCACATCAATGGAATACGGAAGAAATGTGGGTTTCTATCTAAGTGGCATGACATATCCTTGCTGTGAAGGTTTGAATTGGCATGACCAAGGAATGTAGTTCATCTGAGCACTTCCCATGGAAGTAGTGAAAGAGCAACAAGTGGCTTACCATATCATCCCACCCATGGGAGATAATCTGACTATATTCAGTGATTTGTTTTAGTTAATAAAATCAAGAACAAAATTGGTATGTGACTTCAGCTTTTATTATAACAAAATTGCTAGTTCAACCATGCAACTGAATTTTCCTTTGAATAAAATGAGGAAAATACTTTTTCTTTTATATACAATGGGGTGCTGAAAAGTTGTTGGCTTAACTCAGTAGATTTTTATTTTTTTTGTGGGAATAGCGTCTTGGTCAGTACCTCTTCGTGTATTTGTGAGAGAGATATTCAAACAAATTTAATTAAAATTAACTGGCAAGGTCTGTCTGTTTGCATTTTTCCAGTTTCCATATCAGCTGTAGCAAAACCAGATCATATTTATGAAGAAACTCTCCATAGTGATTGCCATTTTCATCAAAGTCTATTCAACCATTTCTTGCCATTATCAGGAATGTTATTAGTTTTAATAAAGTTAATAGCACCTTACAAAAACATACCAATTTCAATTTGAAAAATACTTACATGAAAAATGCAAATTTAACACAGGTCTGCAGCTGGAAAAGTAATAATGATAGAAGAAAAAAATACAATGTTTAACATATAAGCACATCAGATTTAACTCTGGTTCCCCCTGTCAAGGGGGATACAACATCAAATCCAGCCAGAGGATGCATATGATTCTTTAATAAGATTTCTTAAATATACTGTTTAATAAATAAATGTAATGTCTACTCAAATATAAATATCCACTAAAATAGCATTTCAAGTGATAAAATCTGTTGGATTAATAAATAGAAAAATCTATTACTTCTTTAGAAATTGCTTTATGTTTAGAGACAAAACTGAGCAAATATAAACATTTCAAGAATCTATGACAAGAAGGATTTTACTTAAAAACACTATTCAGACTTGCTTGATCAGCAAATCTCCTTCATGACTAAGTTGGTATAATCATGTCGACTCTAATGATGACCCCCTCTGGCCAGAGAGATGCAAGTTTGAATTTTGCCAGAGAG